CGGGGCCGGTGCGCGGCGAGCCGGGGCGGCCCGTGAGCGGCGGGCGAGCCCGGCCCGGCCCGGCCTCCGTGCGCCCGCGCTGCCCGAGCGGCCTGTAAATCCCTTCTTTTTACTCTATTTTGTTTTAACACGTGTCTTTTTAAAGAAACTTTGCTGTGAGATTGCARACGTGTTGAGGCAAACGAGCTCGCTCGCAGCTCTGTCAGTTGTAGGTGTTTGGGTTGGGGTTTTTGCGGTTTGTTTTCTGGGCACCAGTGTTTTCCAGGTGCGAGAGCTGTGCTGATAAGGGGGGAGTTGCTTCCTCTTAAGAAATAGTTCAAAGAGGGGGAAAAAGTAACTCCTGGGATGGTCTTTATTGCCCTAAGTTATCGATCGGCAGTCCCGTTCACTGCCTCTGTGTTTGCTCTTATATAGAGGGGTCTGTCTGCTCTGCTTTTATCCTTTTACTTTAGGTCTATTTGTTAATGTTTCCTTAATGCTCCAAGGACTAYGTAAACTCCCTCTTGTGGCTCATTTTACACTTTTTTTATAGTTAATTGAAAAGTGTCTGYCTTGTAATTACTCCACACTTTATTTGCCGGGTTGGTTAATTACCCCAGTGGTGTCGGAAGCCCCATGGATGGGCTGGTCCTGCTGAGGAGGTCGTGGCTGCTCAGAGCTTTGAGCTTCTGCTCTTTCTTGACCGTGTTTGAARGCTGGACAAAAGGCAGAAGTTACGAATTTGTGGTAGAGCAGCTCCTCCTCCCCGCTCCTGACATTCCTTATGTGAAACGTTCATAGGAACTTCCAAAACTGTGGGTTTTTTTATTTTTCATTAAAAACGAAAAGCATGAGTTRAAATAGTTCTGATTCAAAAATGCAGCAGTTTTTGTCCTCTGAAAACTATTGCTTTTTAGCCATGCTCCCTCCGAGGAAGAGATGTGCAGCCTGTCAGTGCTGAAGCTGTGAGGCCTCCAGACCTTGCAGCTTGGGGAATACGGAAAGTGCTCCTGCTGGAACAGAAAACTACTGTAGTTTTTGATTAAAAAGCCACCAAATTGGAGGATGAAGCAGAGTTATGGCAAAGGTAGTGGTGTCTCCTTTCTCGTCACACGCTGGCAGGTTAGTGCTCCTTCCCGGAGCGGAGGCCGGYGGCGTTCGGGAGGTTTGCGGTGCGGCGCAGCGGGCGCTCGGCCCTTTGCAGTGCCGCGCTTCCGTGGTCGTGCCCGTGCAAACACCGGGATTCGGCTCCGGGCGTCCTTATCGCCTCCTTATTTACCTTGCCGAGCGCTGCYGCCTTGACGGGGCTGGTGCTCCCTGTGCTGGAGGGGATGGACTGCACCTGGGCCGCCAGAGCTCGGGCTGCTCCAAGGTGGATCCATCCTCGGTGGCGCAGCGGGATCCGTGGGGCTGCCACCAAAGGGTGGCTGGAGTATCCTGCTGTCCCCAGGGTCCTGCTGATCCCGAACTGTTGCTGCTACTGCTGCTTTGGATTCGGTAGCGCCTCGAAATAAAGAGGCGTGGGAAGTTTCGCGTGCTGGGGCCTGGAAGGAAGGACACGGTGCAGTGTGTGCAGGCGGCTCTGGCACCAGCCGGTGAGCAGATCCTCCCAGGAATTTGCCGTGTGCTTGGCCAGCATGGGGCAAACGAGCTGCTGTTGTGTTTTTATAGCCCTTCCCATGGGGTTGTGCCGTTGTTTGGGAGGGCTGGTTGTTGGACGCTTCCCAGCTCGCCTGTTGTGGGAGTCAAAGATGCAAAGTGCAGAAATGCGGGAGAGAAGGAGACCCGGGACAACCGCATCCGAGGGCTGCCCTGAGGGATTCCCAGCCCTGCTCCTGCCGCAGGCTCCTTGGTGGGGCAGAGGCCGCCTCGGTTTTGGCTTGCCTCAGGCTGGAGCGCTTGAATTTATAGCCTTAATGGTCTCTTAGCCGACTTCTTGTGGATTGTGTTCATTCTTAATTATAGTTCCCTTTGGAATGGGTAATCAGGTAGGTAGGAAGTGTCAGCACGCTGCAGTTCC